TTAATTCTTCGTGTTCGTGATTATCTTGAAAGGATAGTTTTTTTACGTGATTATCCATTGATATTTAATCGTATTGCTATTGCATGTGAAGAAAAAGATTTATCAATACAAAATCGAATAACATCACTTCATTGGATAACAGCACCAATGTTAGATACAGTACTTAATGAGAATATACCTATTGCTCATGAAGCTATTTATAAAGCTATGAATGGTATATAAAATATCATTTGAAATATTTAAAAAAAAAAAAAAAAAAGAAACATTATTTATTATTTTGTTTTTCTATTCTAAATTAGCTTTAATTGAACTTGATTCTAAAACAACACCACAAGGAAAAATTCATTCAATAATGGAATGTAAAACATTTATTGAAGAAGCAATACGTGCTAGTAGTAGTATTAGTGGAATTAATGCTGATAGTTTTCTTCCAGCACTTATTTTTATTGTATTAAAAGCTAAACCACCACGTTTACATTCAAATATACAATTTTTAAGTTATTTTTCTCAACCAAGTGGTGAACAACTTTATTATTTAGCTAATCTTGTGTGTTTTTAAAAAGAAAAAAAAAAACAATAATAAATAAAACTTTTTCTTTTATCTTTTGTTGTTTTTTTTCTTCTTAGGATTCGGCTGTTCGTTTTATTGAACTTTTACAAGCTCAACATCTTGGTTTATCATCAGATGATTTTTCTTTATATATGCGTGGTCAACCAGTATTACCATCAAAATTTGTTACTTTATTTGATTCTTCATTATCAAATGAATCAAATAGTGAACAATTACGAAAAAGATTTATACTTTATCATGAACTTGATCATCATTGTGAAAAATTTGATGAAAATCTTCTTGATTTTAATCGACGTTTAACACAAACAGTAACTGATGTACAAGAATTATTAAATGGTACATATGCACGTTTTCCAAATTTTGAAAAACTTCCACAATTAATTGATATTGAAAATAATGAACAAATAGAAGATATATCGAAAAAAATAGAAAATGAAAAAGATATTATTGATATATTAGATCAATCAACAACAGAAAATGAACATTTACCGGAACCATTAGCACCTGAAATAGTACAACAACAAACAAACAATGATAATTGATTATTTGAAATTTGTTTTCTTTTTTTTAGTTCGATTCCGGTGTTAGTTTTATATGAACAGTGCTTGTCCATAGATTCTTTTACATTGTTAAATACGAGATAATGATGGAGAATTTCTCGATTTTATGTTCGTTTTTTTTTTCTCTATGTAGTAATATATATATATATGATAGAAGAGGAATACTGTTTTTTTTTTCTACTTGGTTCAATTATAAATAATTTTTTCATAATTGAAATACATGATAATTATCTATATATTAAGTTGATCTTTGCATATAAATAAAGACTATTGGAGGATATTGTCAAGTAAATCTCAGTAAATGAATATTTTTCATACAAATTATCATTAACTTTTAACTATGAAGATCATGACGAGTAACGTTTGAATGATGTCGTCGATAGTCGGTCGAATAAATAGATTTCGAAAGGTGGAGGACGAATGGTTAAAGTATACATTAATATCATCATCTTACTTTCTTTTTCTTCCATGTATATATATATATAGACCACTATTGTAATATATATTCTGTATTCGAACTAGGTTAAAATGATGTCAACATTAACAGCAGTAGGTATATGTAATGTTTTTATGAAATATTTACTCTATCGAAATCGTAGATGTACAGTAAAACATCTGGAATATTCAATGCTAGCAATACACTTTTACGTAATTATGAAAGTAAAGTACCATTCGGGTAATTGATATTCTGTATTCATAGTTTTAAACAAAAAAGGACACATGAATTTTATATTATTTTTTCTTCATAAAGGTTTCGTTGGATAATAAATCTCATCGAATACGTATTTACCTTATTGTTATTTGTTACTCTTATAATTCGTTATGTATGGAATCATACAGTTATTCGAATATTGTCACGTTTTAATATTCCAATTATAGAAAAACGTTCATCCGTATCATTTCAAAATGATACTGTTCTTATAACTGGAGGTCAATAGATTCATTTTGATTAACTATTTTAATATTTATAGTATATCATTAATTTTAGCTGGTGGTTGTCTTGGTCATGCATTAGCTATTGAGTTTGCACGTGAAGCTCGTTGTCTTGCTTTATTAGATGTACAAAAGAGACCATTAGATGATCTTAAACATTCACTTCAACAGGTCTATGGCAAAGATCATTGTCGCATTTATACTTATCGATGTGATCTTAGGTTCATTCGTGTCTATTCTTAACAAAGTATTTAAAAAAATATCGACGTTTTTCTATATTATAGTGATTTAAATGCGCTCAAATATACCATAACAGCTATTCGAGAAGATTTAGATGATAATATTTCAGTATTAATCAATTGTGCTGGTAAATCTTATTTAAAAATAAGAAACCTTGATATAGAAATTAATTTGTTTGTTTATTTTTGTTTCTATACTTTATAGCTACAGCTTATTTTAAAGATATTATGTCTCATACAGATGATGAATATCAACACACGTTAATCGTTAATACACTTGCTCCAATACTCGTATGATTTTTGTTTCTTTTTTTGATATATTCATTTTATCGAATAGAAATACGTTTATAATTAACAGATTACTAAAGATTTACTTGGTGGAATGATAGCTCGTAATCATGGACATATTGTTAATATTGTTAGTAGTGGGGCATTGAGTGGAAATGCTTTTACTTCATCATATTCATCATCAAAAGCAGCTTTACTAAGTAATATTTTTTTTTTGAATTTATTCGTATCTTTTTACTTTGATAAATTCATTGATAGATTTTACAGAAACACTGAATCAAGAATTAATTCTTGCTAAGGCAACTGGTGTTCGAGCTACAGCTGTTATACCATTTTATCTTGATGGTGGAATCTATACAACATTACGTAAATAGTAAATATTGTCTAAAATATTTAATTGTTATAAGAACTAAGAAAAAACAAATATTTGTCTTTAGTGGTAAAGAGAAAGTTTTAGGTATAACGCCGAAACGTTTTAATATAGCAGCACGTGAGATTATGCGTGGACTTAAATCAGGTAATAGTCCAATATTTATACCTTCGTTGCAATTACGTATAGCTCGTGTCTTACATGCGTAAGTTCATATAAAATTTTGTGAATAAATTTTTAATATATTTTTATTTATATTATGAAATGTAAAGAATTCTTCCGGATGATATTTGGAATCCGTTACTTTTATATGTTCTTGGTCGTACACCAACATTTGTCAATCAACATTGAACAAGCATACTCATTTATGATAAACATATTTAGTATTTTTTTCTCTTTTTATATCGATAAGTTTTTTGTTTTTCTTGCTTCATGTTTTTTACTATTATTTGTATCCATTATGTTCGAAAGAACAACAAAACTATGAAACTCTTATAAGGCATCCTATATATAACAAAAAAAATCTCATGATTCTCTTGGGTATTAAAATCTTAAAATTATTTCCTGAAACAGTTAAAAACTGTTGGTTCTCTAGTTTTGAACGATTCTATTGCATTTGTTTCTATATACATATTGTAACTTAATACTATATTGTTATTCTCTTTGATCCACACGGATGTATTGACAAAATGAAGTAATTTAGAAGTCTTCTGATTTACATATAATAAGCTACATTGGATGAAGAAATTTCTTTTTTGAACTTCATCAAAGAATTATAAACCATTCCATCATATTGGTTTAAATAATCGATAGTGTAAAATAGTGAATATTATTTTTCATAAGTAATGCATGTAATGTAATTAGCATGCATGAAATAGATTGCATTTTGATTTCATTAGAGTTATTATTTATGAAAAATAACTGAAAATAATTCTCATTATTTGACATTATCGGCTACGTGACTAATACTGATGCATTATTTGGCTGTACGTGTTGAAAAGAAATGTTTGCTCTTGAAATGTATGTACTCAGAAATAAATAATATTTTTTTTGTCGCCTAATTATTGAGCTAAGTGAAATCGGATTCGAACTTTTTTCTTCAAAAAAAAAATTTAGCTATGAAGAACTATAACAGATCAATATTCGAAGTAATTGAATAGTCCACGATTCTTTGTTCAAATCTAGCAAATTTTTCTGGATCTGATGTAGTACTCTTTGCTAATCAATAGAAGTTCGAAATGTGTTAAATATAGAAAGTCTACTAAATTATTTTTATTGGTCTATCATAATAGTAAAGGTTTTGCTGAGACCTTTTAGATCTTAGTAAAATTTGAGTGTAAAAATTTGATAATAATGTCTTTGGGTCGTTCTCTATATTTTCTCAAATACAACAAATGTATCTACATAATGATTGATTGCTTTACTTCGGCTTTGCATTCGAAATTTTATTCTAAAGAAGTGGTTGCCTCAACTTTAATGATCAAATTTCAATCATTTAGTTATTCCATTTACGATCACATTATTTTACTACACTTATTGAGTCAATTTATCTATGTTTCATGTCTTGTTATATGAGAAAGAGAATGAATGAAATATTAACTACAGAAAAAAGTGTTCTTCGATTCGCTCTTTTTGTTTCCTATCTAATATATTCTTTTATTTAATCCATTACTATCCATACTATGACGTGCATTTTAATACCAATATCATCAATGTAAACAAAAACAATTATTTTGATCATAAGCATTATGCAACTTAGGTCCAAGAAAACGGCGCCGTAAACAATGGTAAACGATATAAAACAGGCGGACGGATTGAAGCGAAATATGATAAAAATGAATGCCCTAATACACTGTTTTATAGACATTTCAGACCGTTTACGATGCCGTTTCGGGCGGCCGAAATGATCATTCTGGGAATACACATTGAAAAAAATTGACTATTTAAATTTTTTAGATCGTTTATTTCTTTTTCCTATTTTTAACATAGATACTTTTTCTTACTTGGTTATTCATTTCAATCGTTTTGTTCAATGCAAAATGTGTAAGTAATATGTTTTATTTTCTTTTCATTAACAAAATTTATCTTCTTACTAATTAGATTCACCATGGACAACATCAATGCCTTGTTTATTTTCAAATAATAATAATAATAATAATCTTAATTATAGAAATTATCAACAAGAACAACGATTGAATTCATCATATAATAGTAATGATTGTTTAACCAGTTCATTGAATAAGCTTGATTTATCAAATCCATTTAATATTGTTGCAACGATATCACCAATGTCATCAGTTTGGTCACTAGATAATCTCAATTATCATCATTGCCACATTAATGAACAACAACAAAAACAAGAATTAAAAAATAATTATTTTGAACCATTACCTTTTATTGATACAGAAAATCAATTAAAACAAAATAATTATCCACAATTATCTCAAAAACATGCTATTATCAAACAAAGTATTATATATAATTCAGTATTTTTTTCAAAATTTTTTTTTGTAACTTAGTGATTGCTCGAAAAACTAAACAACAACAACAACAACAACAACAACAACAACAACAATTTTATTATTCTCGCTCTCATTACAAGAGTTGTGATAATCTATTTTCTTCAACATCTGATCGACAAAAACGACAAATATGTAGCTTTTGTAAAACAAATGGTGAATCAGCTAGTGTTTATACTTCGCATGGTGAGTTAAACAAAAAAAACTTTTTTTTTTAATGACAAAAACAACCAATCTTTCTTTTATAGCTTTACGTAATATTGATAATGAAATCGAATGTCCTATTCTTATGGCATATGTTTGTCCAAAATGTGGTGCTACTGGTAAATCAGCTCATACAATAAAATATTGTATAGCTTTATCTGAAGGTGAACGTGTTGCATTGCCAACAGTTAAATTATTTAAAGAAGGTCGATCTTCTTCAGGCAATATGAATTTATTTAAAAAGTAATATTCAAATGCATTGTGTATGCATACATCAAAATTCATTGTTATCTTATTATAATATTTGTTATTTTTTTTCTTTGAAAGTTAGTTTTATTTTTCAAATTTATGTAAAAATGAAAGAATCTATAAGCATAAATATTTTTTGTTTGTGTTCGAAAAGAAAAAAAAGAATGATCCATATGTATATGAATGAATAAATAATAAAATAGGAAAAAAGAAACGAAATGTATATTTAACAGTCACTTATATTTGATGCATGAATTAATTGTTTAGTTGAACTAGCACTCGTTTCACGAACTTTTTTATTTCGTAATTGTTCTTGTAATTGTTGTGTCCAATTAACCATTGTATTAACAGGATCGTTTGTTTTCGATGTTGAATTTGTTGATTCATTTATATCAACAGCATAAATACGTTTATCATCTAATTCTTTTTGTTTTTGTTTAGCTAGAGTTGCAGCAGTAAATGATTGTATAAGTACATTATCAGGTGTTGTACTTTGATCTGGTGTACGATATCTATTATTTTGAAAATTTAATGATGTTTGATTATGTATATGTTCAGGATTCCACACTGTATTCATAACATGATAATTCATTCCGTTTGATGTTTGTGTTCCATCAGATGTTGACATGTTTTCTATTCGTAAATTATGATCATTTATAGATGAATCTGATGAATGAAGATCCTTTTCATTATTATTTTCATCATCGTTTTGTTTCGAACAACATTTTAAACGATAACATTTACATCCAATAGTATTTATAATATCTTCCCAAGGTAAATCAGATAATGTTAAAATGACTACCAATCCAGTTACAACACCAAGAACAGACCAAAATGCAGCTGAACGTTGATTTTGTGTTGGATCATCAAGTGCTGAAAATCGAAAATCGAAAAACAAAATACATTTAGATTTTGTTTAAACAAGATTCTATTTCAATCCATACATATTTCACAATTTGATCCAGTATAAAATATATCAGAACAATTACATGTATAATTATCTAAACCATCTGCACAGATTCCACCATGTAAACATGGTGATGATAAACATTCATTAATTTCAGTGTCACAATATTGTCCAGTAAATCCTGATGCACAAATACAAATTTCTCTTCCAACATTCATATAACATAATGCATTATTTTGACATAAATTACTTTCGTTACATGGTACTATTAATACAAAAAAAAACAGATTTTTTTCAATTTAAAAAAGAACCAAATAAACAAACCTTGATATTCACAAATGAAATTCAATAATTTGTTTTCAACCTCATCAGCTATTTGATAAGTTGTTTGATCTGGATCATAAATAAGTTTATAATTCGATAAATTGCCTGTTACTGCACGTTCATTTGCTTCAAAAAACCATGTTATTGATTGATTTGACCAACTCCATGATGATGCGAAAACGTTACCATCAATCCAAAATTGAGTTTTAATATCATAAGCTAACAAAATTTTGAAAAAAAGAAACCAATTATACTTAATAGAAAAAAAGAAATAATTGAATTGTTAAGTTCACTATTTACCTTTCATCCAGTAATATAATGATGTTTTTTCTGTAACATGTTCAAGTGCAATAAGATGAGTAGTAAAATTTGTTACAGTCTCATTGACTGACAATAAAGACGAATCATTATAACAATATTGTCGAGCATTGGACCATGTTTCGTTAGAACCATTCATTATTTTGTAACATCCCAATGCAATCTGATTGTATGAATGTGGACATCGTATTGTTTCTGCACCATTAAGTAAGATTATTAGTAGTAAACTGCCGATTATTGTGAAAGACTATATAGACGAAAAATTTACTTTAGTCTTCATTAAATTAACATAAAACTTACCATTCACGATTTTCTTTGACTCTTGAGAAATGTTATTTGTTCATTAAAAGACAACTCAAATGAGAACAATAAGAAATAAAAGAGAACAAAAAGATGAGGATGAAAAATAATCAATAAATTCTATAGTTAGTCTGTATTAGACTCCTGTCGTTGATGACGTCCGTTATATATTCACGTTTCAAGCCCGAATAGAAATAAATAATAAAATAGTAGAAAAGTAATGTCTATATGTTTTCTCATATTTTTCTCATTTAAGTTAAGCAAAAAATAATGAATGAGAATGAGACTAAAAAAAATTTTTTTTTTCTCATTTCCTGTTCTCCTCATAACAAATTAATTTTACTTTTATATGCATGTTCATAAAGAGGAGAAAAAAAGAACAATATTTTAAAGACTTTTAACTATATACTATAATAGCAAACAAGAAAAAAAATTAGAAAACACGTGCAGAAAATAGTATGTTGTATAAAGAACACTTATTTTTATAGTCATCTTAGATCTATTGAACAATGTTTAATTTATTTAAAAAAACCTTCAAGCGGAAAAAAATTTTTGAAAAAAGTTTTTTTTCTCAAGAGTCACAAAAGTTTGTTTTGTTGATATTTGTTAACGACTATGTATAAACAAAGGCATTTTACTCAGACATAAAAATGAGAATATTTTATAGAATTTCCTTATTAATAATTTGTACTCTAGTCTTAAACATAAACCAATAAAAAATGTTTTTTATTTCATCGCATGGTAAAAATTTATTTTCTGACATTCACTTTTAAAAAATCCTGATACGTAGACTTGCCACTACCAGTTTTAAAAATATGCATCGGTTTATCTGAGATAATACCATGAAGCCAAAAGAGAATTCATCAACATTTCGTTAATTTTACTATAGAGAATCAACTTGTCACTTGTGATCGTTGTATAAAAAGAAAAATTATTCAACTAGAACGTGCTAGAAGTAAAAGATGTCAGCAATCAGAATGACAAACTATACCAATATCGAAAATACATATTCTACTGTGTCAAATGATAAAAACGAAATTTTCCATTGTAAACAGTTCAAAGGATATCATCGTTTAAGAATAAGTTCTCCAAATTCAATGAAATTTTGCATAATGGTAGAAGTAAGTGAGATACATTCATCATAAAATTGCTAGCTTCATACACTTTATGGAACAGGAGCTTTAGTGAAAACATGTCTATATGAAAATGATACAAAAATAGCAAAAATTGTGTCATATACAGTTGGATAGAGTATCAAATGTTCTACATTTTTATTCTTGTTTGGATGTTTTCTGGCATTCGTTTAAATATCTTAGAAATACGATCGTATTTCTAAGATATTTAAACGAATGGTATAAAATACCTAAACAAAACTAAAAATGTAAAACATTCGACATTGTATGTATGAAGAGTTTTATTTAAGTGGGTTGACCTTATTAGTCCGGACCACTTTAAAAGAAGTTTTAATTACTAGCATCAGCGCATAAAGAGGAGTAGCAGAAAAAAAATTTACAGCGGCATCTATTAGATAAAATTAGATATGTGTGTTTTCCGTTAAGATGGCCTTTTTTGGTTTTTTTCTGCAAAGTTTAAGTAATAAAACTGTCATTGTAAAACTGGATCAGTTGGTCTATGAACGTTGTTGAATTGTGTTGAAACGTCATGATGCGTATGGTGGGTCGTCCTCTTGGCAATGCTTGAATATATGCTTTTTCAGTGTAGTACTGACGTGTTCTATTTATTATATTCTTGTGCTGTAAATAGGTTCCCATCAGTTCTTGTTCGAGACTTGGTAGATGAAATACTCCATGCAAGTTGTTTGTTTGGGATTGAAAAAGATGATAAAACATCGACGATAGAAACTATTGAGTGGTTGTTTAAGTGATAATGATAATAAACAGTAGATTGTGGACATTGCATATAGATGCGGCCATACGTATGTGTTAAAGAAGTGAAGTCTTAATTGATAGTACGAAGGAAATCTACGAAACGGTTTGATTTTTATTGTTGAAATCAAGTTAGGAGTAACTCCTAGTGATATTCCAAATATTGATTTGTAGATAATTCTCAATCGAATTTTAACCCATACCGGTACTACCCTATAGAAATGAGCAAAATGTTTCATCGTCATCTCTCAGAAGGTGGTGAACATGAACTGATAATGATTTCAAAGGTTTTACAAAAAAGCTTTGACGAAAATAGCAACAATGTGTAGTACGCATCTTAAATATAAAATTTCAACAGAATTTCATCCATTAGTTTAGCTATATGATCCTGAAAGGGTTAACCGTAATTGTTCGCTACACGTTAATGGAAATTTGATTCTGCAAATCATAATCAAAATGAGCTCCAGTTTTCCTGACTTTTATCAAAAAATTTCCGTCTGCTATCCTGATTTTGGATATATGCCACTGCAATCTCTGAAACAATGGGAAGAGTTTACTACACATTCATAGTCATGCTCATAATTAATATTTCTTGTCGTGTAATGTATTGTTATTTACCGTATAGCTTCTCAAAATAGATACTTTTTAAATAAGCATTTAGCTATTTAAGTTTTTCATAGCTGTTTATAAGTACTTGTTTAGCTATTTAAATCTTGAATAGATAGTTAAGTATTTGCATAGCTATTTAAGTGTTTCCATAATTATGTAACTAGTTGCATAGGTATTTAAGTCTTCCATAGGTATTTAAGTAATTCCATAGCAGTGTAAATCTTGAATAGCTATTTAAGTATTTAGATAGTTATTGAAATCTTTCATAGCTATGTATGGTCGTCTCAACAAGACTCATTTTACCGATGACTAATGATGCCAAAGTTCGATTTCAGAGCTTTCTGGCACATAATTAGTCATTGAAGTTTATGTAACATTAGTTGACCATCGGTGAACAATAGTTATATTCATTCAAAAAATACTTCTTCTATCCAAAAAAAAATGTTTCATCTGATTACATGCAAAAAAAAACGGCAATAATAATAGAAATAAAATAAAATAAATAAATCTGTAAATGTGAATGGTTTTTCTTGATGAGTTCATCGAGTTAAATTAATAATAGATTATTATTTATTGTAACTTAATTTTGTTATCAATGATAAACGATTATCAACTAAGGTAAATGTTGGATTATCTATCGTGTATGTTAATTTTTTACTAAAACTATCATTAAATATATTTAAATATCAACTATTGAAATAATCGTTATAGTTTTTGGAACAAACCAATCTATAAAAAGAAAATGTTTTGGTAAACAAATTTGAATAAAATTTATATTAAAGAAATATCAATTATAAGCTTATTCATTTGAATCTTCAATTCCAATTGAAAAATAACTAAGGTGAAAAGTTTCATGAGTTAATGAATTACTAATCGCCATTGTTATATTACTAAAAATGATAAATTCTATAATTTACTGGTGATATATAATTTAAATGACACTGTTCAACATGATGTTCTAGCTGTCTGAAAAGGAAGAATGAATTAATAAACAACAGAAAAGACTTCAATTAATGAGTTTCACTAATACTTTCATTCCATTTAACTTAAGTCCTTTGTTGTTCTAAAAATAGCACCGAACAGACAGCTAAATTATGAATATAAAGGTTGTGATGTTCTCCATTTTATTCTTTTTTTTTGTTAAGTCGAAACATGTATTATAATCTCATTAAAACAAATCCATCATATCGATATTTCAATAAAACTAACATATATACTCTGATGTAATGATATAATAATCTACAGACATCAATGATGTGTTTCTACCATAAAGATATCTATATCTACGCAGCTCAGTTGCTCCGAGACTCACTTGTGCAACATTCCAACATCATGAACAAAAATATTTTTTTAAAACAAACGCTTTTATATTAGAAATAATTAGATAATTGACTAATTCTAATCTTTTTTTTGTGAACAGAATAAATATCATCAATATAATTTTTTTAGTCTACTAATTTAGACCTTATACATTAAAAATAAAAAAACGAGTGTCAAATATACATTAAAATAGGTTGATAAAACTATTTGAATATGCATACTCGTCAATATTTCTTACATTTTTTTATGAAAAAGTTAACACTAGGATGTATTCATAATGTAGATATCTCGTATAAATCATTTTCACTTTAGTTTAAAAATAAATGTGGAAACCTCGGATACAAATCCGAGAGTTATGTGTACTTCAAAAAGTGAATTAGACAGATGAGCCATCCTAGAATGTGTGGGCATCAAAATTATCCTGGCAAACCTCTTTTCTGTGAACACTTGAATTCTATCGGTCCCTGCTCAATCAATAGCACTTCGAGGCAAGTGGAGTACAGATTCGAGTTCTCCGCCCCAGAAAACCTCGAAATACCATCTCTGTGATCGAAAGATAGAGCTCTAATTGTGGATCAACCAGAGCGTGAACAAAAACAGAACCAATTTCCGTTTAGTTATCTTTGCATTAGGGGGGTTAGCCTTCTTATTTCTTTATGTTTCATATACCACGTTGTAGCTCATGAAATTCTCTATCGAATAGTGTATAATAGTTGGAATTTTATTTGACTATGATAGGAAAAGATGACTATTTTTGCAATAACTCAGGAACGGCTCGGCCAATCATTCTCATCTTCGAACTCGACCCAGATATTGTTGAAACTAAACTGTGCAAAAAATTTACCGCGATCTGGCTTTCATTTCAAAAGTTATCGTGTAAACGGCCGGACGGCCGGACACACTGACCGATTCTAGAATGTACTCACTTTTTGAGTACACAAAAACACTGGAATAAATGTAAATTGAAAATTTTTTCTCGTATTGCTTGGCGCCCAACCAAATTACGAAAAAAGTTGAACATTTCATGATATGCGCTTCTGCTCTATTACATTAAAAATCATCTAGTCTATTTTAAACCTAATGTCTCAAGATAACAAAAAATCTAATTATTTGAGTAAGTATTAATAAACGATAGATAATCTATGCATATATTAATTATACATATTAGTATTATCATCCGATTCTGAAACTTCAAATCATGAAAATGAAAATGCAACAATGCACGGAACTTCAATAAGCAAATTATTCTCCTGAAATTTTTGCGTTTTTTCTTATAAGAAGCATAGATCATCATCGAACATATTCATCAGAACAAATCCGTAAACGTGCACGTTTATTTCTTGAATATGAATCAGAAGAAGATTATCGATTACACGAACAACTTTCAAACTTTTCAGAATTGGTTCCTGCGAATACTTCGAATAGCGATACAGTTAACATAGCTGAAATAAATAGTAAGAATTCTAAAAGTGTGGAAAATATTTTAACGGCATGTCCTATCATATTGAAGATGATAATACTCTACAAGAACCGAATATGAATAGTCACGAAACAACAGAAACTATAATTGAAAATAATAGTTTATTTGCACGAGATAATGATATTGGTAGGCAAATCACTTATTAGAGAACATTATTCTGAAGAAAAATAGAAAGCCAAATCTTTTTCAATTAAGAACTAATATCAACAATGACTAATTTATCATCTAACATAACAAATAATTCATCAACAACACATATACAAAATAAATCTTGTTTTATATGTAATTACATTTGAGGTTTTTTATTTTTTAATAGCATCTATAAACCGATATTTTTCGCCATCAGATGATTCATTTCAATCAATTGATAGTCTAAATGAAAATATGTCGAAGTAATGAAATATCCTATAAATGGATTTCATATTCTTTTTCATAGATTTCGCATACGTGCTAAAGTAATTTATATTAGTTCAGTACGGTTTTTCGGTACAAATAGCAAAGTATTTGATGCAATCATGTGTGATTTAAATGGTGAAATAAAAATAGTTGCTTTTAATGAAGAAGTTGACCGTTTATCCGGTTGCAAATAATAATATCAAGTAGTAAATTATAAAAGAAATGTTAGGGCAATCCCTGATGGATTAAAATCTGTAATGCGAAACAGCTGTCGGTACTAGTCATACGAATATTGTTTATTTTGATCTATTTTAGGATTCATTATTTCATCATTTTTACATAACTCTCTTAAAATAAAATAAAGAAACAGTTTATATATTGTCATCAGATACCAGTGGTATATGATGTCTAATAGAGTATCAAAAAAATTTCTCACGGTCTGTGTAGAGGAGAGAAAGTTTCTATTCTATACACTTCAACACTCCTTTTCGATTGAGTTTCATAAAAGGTTTTATAAATTATTTATCATAGACAGTAACTATTAAAAATTGACAAATACATAAAGCAAATGAAAGATATCAAACACCATATTCTATGTATGAAGTTCGATTACTTCCAACCTCAGATATTCAGCCATATCAATCTGTTGGCTTTAATCCTAACATAAAAATTACAAAAACAGAAATTCGTTACATTTCTCAATCATTACATGGTACAAATGTTGGCAACTTATCATACATTAAATCTATTTATACATACATTGTAAGTGATACTTTATGATATTAGTTAAATATTTTCTTCTAATACTTATACAAAATGACTAGCTTCGATTAGTATTCTGTTTAAGATAGCCTATTTACTAGGTTGAGAACATGTAAAACCATATTTGTTTTATATAAATATTAATAAGAAATTATTACAGTTTGTTGACCTCTATGCAAACTTTTCTTCTTTAACAATAATAAGCTTTCATTGGTGTGGGTGTGGGGTGTGGGGTGTGGGCGTGCGCGTGGGTGTGGGTGTGTGTGGCGGTATGGGTGTGGGTAGGTGTGGGTATGGAGTGTGGGTGTAGATTTCCTCTTCTTTTATGCCCACACATACACCTACACCCACACCCGATACTCACACCCATACCCACATCCACACCCAGATCCACACCCACACCCACACCCACACCCACACC